AGAACAACGTAGAACAAAACTCAAAATTAAGAAAAGGGAAAAAAAAAAAAGACCAGGCTTGCTGGTGAAACCCCTGAGACAATGGCCCCTAGCTGTGCTTCAGGTCTGGAACTGAACTCACTCCTGTGACTTCCAGCCAAATAAAAGACCAGCATATGGACAGATTATTTACATCCGGTAGATACGCTCCTTGGAAAGATCAATCATGGGAGAATAGAAGGGCCCAGGGAAGAGGTAACTATGGGGAAGAAGTGGGAAGAGAGCTGTTACACTCTGAGAAGTTGCAGTCAATGTCATGAGACATGTGTATGAACTGCTGTATGAAAAGTGAATTTGCTCTGCAAACTTTCATCCAAATCACAATTAAAAAAAAAAAAAAAAAGAAACATAAAAAAGTGGTACCTTTACTTCTCAACACTTTAAAGAGAGACTTTAAAGAGAATTGGTCAAAGGATACAACCCTGATGCACACACCCTTCCTGATTTTAAACTGTTCAATATCCCCTTGTCCTGTTCAAATGACAGCCTTTGGGTCTATGTACAGTTCCTCATGAGTACAATTAAGTGTTCTGGAATTCCAATACTTCTCAATGTTATCCATAATTTGTCATGATCCACACAGTCAAATGCCTTTGCATAATCAATAAAATACCGGCAGACATCTTTCTGGTATTTTTTGCTTTCAGTTAAGATCCATCTGACCTCAGCAATGAGGCTTTTGATGCTTCCTGTATTGCTCAATAGTTTGCTGATATCCTTCAGTATTGCAACCTGAAGCTTGAGTTCTTTCTTCAGTTCTTTCAGCTTGAAAAAATACTGTGTGTGTTCTTCTCTTTTGGTTTTTTAACTCCAGGTCTTTGCATATTTCATTGTAATACTTTACTCTGTCTTTTCAAGTTGCCCTTTGAAATCTTCTGTTCAGTTCTTTTATTTCAGCATTTCTTCCATTAGGTTTAGCTACTCTATATTCAAAACCAAGTTTCAGAGTCTCTTCTGACATCTATTTTGGTCTTTTCTGCCTTTCTTTTCTTTTTAATGACTATTTGCTTTCATCATGTATGATGTTCTTGATGTCATCTCACAACTCATCCAGTCTTTGGTCTTTGGTGTTCAATGCATCAAATCTATTCTTCAGATTGTCTCTAAATTCAGGTGGGATATAATGAAGGTTGTATTGTAGCTCTTGTGGACTTTAAAAAAAAATTTTTTTTTCCACCTGAACTTGCACATGAGCAATTTATCATCTGTTCCACAGTCTGTTCCTGGCCTTGATTTGATTGAAGATACTGAGTTTTTCCATCGCCTCTCTCCACAGATGTAGTCAACCTGATTCCTGTGTTCTCCATCTGATGAGGTCCATATGTATTGCTGCCATTTATGTTGCTGAAAAACAATATTTGCAATGAATAAGTCAATGGTCTTGCTAAGTTCCCTCATGCAATCTCTGGCATAATTTCTATCACCAAGTTACATTTTCCAGCTACTGATGATTCTTCTTTGTTTCCAGCCACCAGTAATAACCAACATATCTTGATTGCATGTTTGGTCAATTTCAGACTGCAGCAGTTGGTAAAAAATCTCCAATTTCTTCCTTTGGCTTTAGTAGCTGGTGTGTAAATTTGAATAACAGTGGTATTAACTGTTCTTCCTTATGGGTATATAGATGTTATCCCATCACTGACAGCACTGTACTTCCAGACAGATCTTGAGCTGTTCGTTTTGATGATAAATGCAACACCATTACTCGCCAATTTGTCTTTCCTGGTGTGGTGGTTACATTTGTGTGTCAACTTGGCTGGGCCTGGTTGAGTGGCTGGGAAGCTGGTGGTAGTTATTCCCCATGGTGAGATCAGTAATTAACTCCATGGTGGAATCAACTGGAGCAGCTGAGTAGCTGCTTTGGCTATGTGGTCTACTTCGTACATATAAGAAACGGCTTTAGGAATGGTCTCTAGTTTATGGAATGCTTGGACCCTGCGTGTAGCCGTGTCATTGTTCAGCAGCCTGCCATGCTCTGCCAACCTTGGGACTTACAATGGACTTGAATTTATGGCCTGCCATATGATTTGGTAACATCAGGACTGTGCCATTTTATTTGTTGACCTTAGGCTTGTTAGCCTCAGCAGCCAGTAGCTGCCTGAATGAAGAGCTTCAGTGGGCCAGGAGCAACAGGCAGAGCTGAAGCCCAAGGTCAAGAGGCTTTCATACAGCCCCTAGAGCCTGGCACTTTGAACTCAGACTTAAAGCCTTCCGACTGTAAGAGAATAAACTCCCGTTTGTTAAGGCCATCCGATCTGTGGTATTTTCTTGTCAGAGCGGCACTAGGTAACCAGAACACCTGGTATAGTAGGGCATATGACTGTGTGATTCAAAATAACCAATACTAGTTCTCTTCAGCTCACTAATGCCTGGGATATTAATCATTATCCATTCCATTTCATTTTTGATAACTCCTAATCTTCTTAGACTCATACTTCATACATTCCAAGTTCCAATTATTAATGAATATTTGCAGCTGTTTCTTCTCATTCAGAGTCGTGCTCCATCAGCAAATGAAGGTCCTGAAAACTTTACTCCATCCACATCATTAAGGTCCACTCTAGTTTGGGGAGGAAACTATTCCCCAGTTATATTTTAAGTGCTTTCCAAACTAAGGGGCTCATCTTTCAGCACTGTATCAGACAAAGTCTCAGCGCTATTCAAAAAGTTTTCCAGTAACATATCAGACAGTATTTCACTATTATTCATAAGGCTATTAATGGCCAGTTTTTTCAGAAGTGTCTTTGTCCTTCTTCCCAGTCTGCCTTTGTCTGGAAGCTCCACTGAAAACTGTCCACCATCCATGATCCTGCTGGCATAGCCTCCAGCCTCACAGCAACATGCACGCCACTACACATCATGATAAACTGACAGGCAAGTGTGGGGAATTTCCTTTAGAGTGATTAAAGTATTCTGGATTTAGATAGTGGTGATCAATGTACAACTCCGTGGATACATTAAACAGTCAAAAAGCAAATCTGCTGAGGATAGAAAACTTATCTTTTAGTGAATGCCTATTTTCTGTATGGTACATTTCACAAGGGTGGGCTTTAAGGTATGTGAGTTTTATCACAAAATTAAAAATACAGAACCTGGAATACATTCTTCTTCTAAATACTGATTCCAGATTTCAAATACATTTTCAACTTAGCAATACTTGTACATCTTGTTGAACTCCTATGCATACTTTTGAAAACTGAGAGCTTTTAATTTTGTTGAAAAGAAGACGGCCCTATTCTTTGTTCCATTATTTTCATTCTTAGATTTATAAACACCATTGAGATGTTCACTCCAAGGAAATGTTTTTCCACATTATCTGTTTTCTTCCAATCATCTTTGTATAATACATACCTGCCTTCAGCATTCGTCTACTAACAAACCATATCAAGTACATTCTGGTGCACAACCACCATAAAGGATGAAATAATTTATGACATGCTCTTTTAGTAATTCAAGTTCTTATAAGACAAAATACTTCATGACAGAGTGATTTCTGTTGAATGACTAAAGAGATTTAAAAAATACTATTTCCTTTTTTGTTCTTAAAAATGCATTCTAACTTACTGATTCCTGAATTTAAGAAAATTCACCTAGGATATTGTCATGTGAAGACTCATAATCTGAGATTTTCACATAGCTTATTGATTTTCAAAAAAAAACACAAAAAACCTAACTCACTGTTGTGGTGTTGGATCTAACTCATGGCGACCCCTCCTTGGGTTTCCAAGGCAGTATCACTCTGGAAGTAGAATTTGGTCAAATCTTCCTTACGAGGAGTGGCTGGTGGGTTTGAACCACCAGCCTTCTGGGTAGCAGTCAAATGCCTTAGGCACTACGCCACCAGAGCTCCTATTGATTTTACCATCATCTTTAGATTCAATAGTGCTGTCTCTCTGAAGTCATCTTCTGATTTATCTAGTGACTGTAATATCTTACTCCGTTATTATCTTCTCGTGCCATTACGGCAGTAACCGAAAAATTCCAACTTCTCAACTGTGTTGCATGAACATTACAAAGAAAGACTACAAAGAGGGTTTCATGAGATTACTTTTGGGCACATGATCGCAAGATAAAGAATTTTATTCTATTAGAAAAAGCAAGTTAAATTTCTCATTAAAAAGCTATCTAAGAAAGAATAAAACTCATGAAATATCAATCCCTGCAGAAGGTTAGAAGTGCTCAAACACAAAACTAAAAAATTAACCCTGAATGCAATGGACTTGAATTCCAAAGGTTAATCTTTCAATCTATAAAAAAAAAAAAGGGCAGGTCGAGTACATTCTTTTTCTTTCTCACTCATCAAGTTCCCTTTTCTTGAAACGAATATCTTTTCTAAGGTTGTGAGGGCTATGAACAATTCTGCGCACATAGGATTCTGGGAGACCACCAGAATATCTTACGGAGCAAGTGACCCATGCCAAGAAAAAAACATACCAAATACCTTACTTCATGGTAATGTCAATTGAAACCCATTAACTAGTACAAAAACAACCCTATCTGTCATGGATTAGACATGTTTTCTCCTCGTCCCCCTGTACATATTCTTGCACATAAACACTAAGTATATAAACTCACACTTCCTACTGCTCTGAACTGACCTCTACTGAGGTGACTGGAGACTTCATTGTCCAAAACAAGAATCTTAATGTCAACTTCTATCTGGAAGTTTCCTAAGAAAGTCTTGTCTGACCAATCTGTTTTTTTCTGCCTCTGTTTGTGGAAACCAACCTGTGCCCCTCAAGGACACTCCTGCAGCTGGCATGGTGGGGGGTATGACAAGGATGCAACTGGATTACTAGATTGGCAGGAGTGAGTTTGGCTTTTTTAAAAGATTATATGAAATATCTTAAAAGAATACCTCAAAAACTTCAATCTTATTCACCAATTCATAAATGTAACATATTATCTCTTAGATATTCTATTACCATTTCCTGTCTAATAGCTATTTAAAATAATCTTACATGGAGTTCCAATGACTTCAAACTCAGGTCAGCAAATGCATCTCCAAGTTGCCTTTGGGTATGCACCATCTGGAAAAGCTGGGTAGACAACGTCTGGGCCAGTCTTAGAATATTTTCATATTTTTTCTTGTTATCTCTTAATATATCAATCTGAGCTTCCAGTTCAAGGTCCACAGTTCTTGAGCCGCGGCCTAGCTTCTCAGAGATAATTTGTCGAGTGCACTAAAAGTGGAAAGATGTACTTTTTTAGAGAAGAAAAAAAGAACAAAGGGAAGAATAACACAGCAATCCAAATGTACAAATGTTCAATTATGGTACACAATGAAAACTGTCAGCTACCTTACAAGTTAATCAGGACTCAGAAAATTTATTAGATATGTCTCAACTATTACTGATCAGAGTTTTAAAACTTATCTAGCTAATTTATATATTGCCAGAAGAGATCTCTCACATAATCACATAAACATAAGCTCACTGTATTCAGGTATATTACCATATTTTTACTCAAATAACGCATATATTATACTGCTTTTTGAAAACTGTGCAACCTCCTTGCATGTTTTTTTTTATGAGCACTATGCACATTGTATGTGTGTGCATGTTATTTACATGGATACGTGATATATGAAACATACAGTATTTAACACCACAGGAATACTAAGCATTGATTTAAGAACAAAATTGGATTGTTAACACAGTATTAATAAAACCACTAAAATTCTACCAGCCTATAGATTTCAAATGTATTTTTCCTTCTCTTTACCCCCTAAATAACTTGTATGGATGTGTTCTGGGAGAGATAAAAGTACAGGAAAAAAGATGGGAGGGCAGAAACGGAAAGAAAGGGGAAGGCGAAAAGAGAGGGAAAGAGAGTAGAAGAGAGGAGGGAAGAAATTGATTTTGATTGATGAGAGGTTTCTGAATATTTTTTTTACCTTTACCCAGACCAAACCAAAGACAAACTCTTATCTACTGAGTCAATTCTGACTCTTAGTAATCCTACAGGACAGAGTAGAACTGCCCCGTAGTGTTTCTAAGGCTGTAAATCTTTACAGAAGCAGACTACCATATCTTTCTTGCATAGAACAGCTTGTGGGTTTGAACCACTTATGTTTTGGTTAGCAGCCAAATGTTTTGACCATTGTGCCACCAGAGCTCCATTTACCCAAACATCTAACCCACCCACTGCCACTAAGTTGGATCTGACTCAAAGCAACCCCTCCTTGGGTTTCCAAGGCATTATTACTATGGAAGTAGATTGCCCAACCTTCCTTCCAAGGAGTGGCTGGTAAGTTTGAACTGCCAACCTTCTGGTTAGCAGTCAAATGCCTTAGGCACTATGCCTCCAGAGCTCCCTTACCCAGACAGAATGGTATTCTATTGTGCTCTAGAAATAATGACTCAGGAATCTATAATTTTTCAGAAAATACCTAATTTCCTAAATCATAGAAGGAAGTTTCCTAGCAATAATTTTTGCTGGAAATTGAAAATTATTAGAAACTTTGTCACTCAATAACATATTTCAAGGGTAACCAGAAATATACTAAATACAACATTGAAAGTTATCAAATATGTTCTACAAAAGTAAGTTGGAAGGTACTATCAATTATAATTTTTAAAAAAGCACTTTTCTAAAAGCTTTTAAAGTCTGGGCTACAGATTTAGTATTTGTTTTTAAAATTAATATAGTATTATATAAAATAATCTTTAATCTCACTAAATAGTGTTGTTGTTGTTGTTGTTATGTGCCATCAAGTTGGACCTGACTCATAGTGACCCCTCCTTGGGTTTCCAAGGCAGTATCACTACAGAAGTAGATTGCCCAACCAAAGCCACTATTCAATTTAATGGCTGTTCTAGACTTTCTTTTACATATAAAACCAAAAAACCAAACCCACTGCCACTGAGTTGATTCCGACTCACAGTGACCCCCATATGGTTTCCAAGGCTGTACATCTTTACAGGAGCGGACTGCTTCATCTCTTTCCCGCAGAGTGGCTGGTGGGTTTGAACTGCGAACCTTTTCATCAGCAGCCAAATACACGAGGTACGACATACCAGAGCTCCTTTTTATGTATAAAATCACACATACAACATTTTTAAAGTAAACATTAGATGATATTTTACTATATACAAAGGCGCTCCGGTGGTGCAGTGCTTAAGAAATTTGACTGCTAACCAGAGGTTGATAGTTCAGATCCACCAGCTGCTCTGTGGAAGGAAGATGGGGCAATCTACTTCTGTAAAGATTAACTGCCATGGAAACCCATTGGGGGTTGCTATGAGTCAGAATCAACTCAATGGCAGTGGGTATAGGGAGCTCTGGTAGCATAGTAGCTAAGACATTTGCCTGCTAACCAGACGGCTGGCGGTTCAA